TAGATAGTGTCATCTTTTCAGTTTTGTATCTTATGGAATAAAGGAAATGTGAGGATTCAGTATTTGCCTGCTGGCAAAACTCTTACCTAAAAAGTGATAAAATGGGGCATTTTCCTAAAACTGTAACTCTTTATCCTAGATGTCATTTCCACCACAGTGTTCTCTCCTTGCCATACTGGAGTGGCTGGGTTTGAATCCCTGCTCAGCTTCTGATCCAGCCGCTGGCTAATGTGCATCTTGGGAGGCGCAGGTCATCGCTCAAGTACTTGAGTCCCTGCCACCCATGTGGGAGACCAGGAATGAGTTCCAGGCCTCTGGCTTTGCTCTGGCCTAACCCTAGGTGTTTTGGGCATATGGGAAGTGAACCAGTGGTTGGAATAGTTTCCCCTTTAATCATTTGGACTTGATAGTGAGTGATGCAGCCTGTCAACTGCAGGCATTTGATGTTCAGGTGTCCTTCACCATCCGATGATCCTGGAATTCCTAAGGAGCGCTCATGCCTTCCACTCACCCAAGGACACTAGAAGGTGGCTTCTTTTCCACACACCTTTGCTTAAGGGAGTTATTTTTAATATAAGATGTATTTATTTATTTGAACAGAATTACAGGGAGAGGGAGAGACAGAAAAAGAGATGGCCACAACATTCCAGGACTGGGCCAGGCCACAGCCAGGAGCCTGGAGCTTCTCCCACATGGGCACAGGGACCCAAATACTTGAGCCATTTTCTGTTGCTTTCCCAGGCACATTAACAGGGAGCTGGATCAGAAATGGAGCAACCAGGATTTGAGCTAGTACCTATATGGGATGCCAGCACTGCAGGTGGCAGCTTAACACACTGTGCCGCAGTGTCAGGCTCTTAAAGGAGTCCTTTTGAGAACTCAGATTCTCAAAATATACTGTGGGCTTTTGTTTGTTTGTTTGTTTGTTTGTTTGTTTGTTTTGACAGTGGACAGTGAGAGAGAGAGAGAGAGAAAGGTCTTCCTTTTTGCCGTTGGTTCACCCTCCAATGGCCGCCGCAGCCGGTGCACCGCGCTGATCGAAGGCAGGAGCCAGGTACTTATCCTGGTCTCCCATGGGGTGCAGGGCCCAAGTACTTGGGCCATCCTCCACTGCACTTCCCTGGCCACATTAGAGCTGGCACTGTGGCAGCATAAGACAAGCACTGAGAAGACAGTGTGGACCGGTGGGAAAAGGGTGGACAGAGGAGGGGGCCGTGCCCCTCTCCTGCTACAGTGGCGTCTCCTGGAGGGGACGAGTGATAGCACTGAGTACCACTGTACCACAGCCCTGGGTGGGGCGCTGCCTGCCAGTGGGAAACAGCATAACATAAGCATAAGATAAGCAGAGCAGTTAAAGCCGCTTCCTGCAGTGCCAGTATTTGCTGTAGACGCCGGATCAAGTCCTGGCTGCCCTCTTCCAATCCAGGTCCCTGCTAGTGCACCTGGGAAAGTAGCAGAAGATGGCCCAAGTGCTTGGGCCCCTGCACCCACGTGGGAGACCTGGAAGAAGCTCCTGGCTTCTGGCTTCAGATTGGCTCAGCTCTGGCTGTTGCAGCCATTTGGGGAGTGAACCAGTGGATGGAAGACCTTTCTTTCTCTCTCTCTTCTGTCTAACTTTACCTCTCAAATAAATAAAATCTTTAAAGAAAAGTATTTACTTGGAAGGCAGAGTTACAGAGAGGTGAAGAGAGAGAGAGAGAGTGCTTGATTCGCTGGTTCACTCCCCAGTGGCTGCAGCATCTGAACTGGGCCCAGTTGAAGCCAGAAGGCTAGAACTCCATTTGGGTCTTCATGTGGGTGGAGGGGCTCAAGCACTTGAGTCATCTTCCGCCACTTTCCCAGACACGTCAGCAGGCTGCTGCCTCAGAAGTGGAGCAGCCGGGACTTGAACAGGCTCTCATATAGGGTGCTGGTGTTGCAAGTGGATGTTTAACCTGCTGTACCTCATTGCCAGCCACTACTGTGGATTTCTGAATCCATTTTTCCCATTCCCCAAACCAGCCCAGAGCCTGGGTGTGGGTCTCAGATTTGGAAAGTTTGGTGGGGATTGGAATCTTCAGAGATAACGAACATTTCTCTTTAACTTTTTACTGGTCTAATGTTATGGTTAATAACGTAGTGATTCTGTGACACATTCAGGCTTGGAAGTCACTGATGATCTTTGTTTTGCCCTTGGATTTTGATTGCTTGTTATCTAAAACTAGTTTGCAAGGTGGAAGAAGGAAATATTGAAGCTTGTAATTGTCTTTTTCTCTCCCTTTCTCCTTTCTTGCATTATTTTTCCTCAGGGGGACAGCGAGCACATGTCCACTGTCTCACTCTCCAGATGCCCACGACAGCTGGCTGGGTAGGGCTGAAGCTGGGAGTTAGGAAGTTAAGCTGAGTCTCCCACACAGGTGTCAGGAGCTCGGCACTAAGAGGTTGCCACTGCCTCCTAGGGTCTACATCAGCAGGAAGCTGGATCAGGAGCTGGGTGTTGAACCCAGGTACTTCAATCTGGGTTATCAACATCTTAGCCACCATCCTTTCTTTAGACAGATTTTGTGTGTAAGTTTTTTATAATATAGTTAGACTGTTGGCACAACAGCTCACATGCATACATACACGTGAAAGATCTCTCCAGAATAATGTGGCAGTTTTAAGACCACTTCTGACATTTTCTGGTGGCATTCAGCATGTGAAAATTGTCCCTCCGGATCTCCCACATGGGCACAGGAAACACAACTACCTACCTGAGACATCACTGTGGCCCCGCCCGGGCTGCCTGAGCAGGAAGCAGCCCGTTGTCTACCAGGAGTGGCACCGGATGCCAGTATCTCAGCCCCTAGGCCCACTCCCCCTCAAGTGTGTGTATGTGCACCTGCCCTTTATAAACTCTCAAATCTCTGTGCGTATCCTACCTGTTGTCTTTATTGATCTTTCCTGTTAAATACAAACACTACTGGTGCAGTTGGTCTTGTTTCCTGGTGTTTTATGGGGGTAGTTGAAATGATGTTTCACAACTCCCATCTTCCCAGCCTGCTGGGCAGTGGGGTTGAGGAGGTTATGTGGCGCTCCTCCTGGGTGTGAGCAGCCACCGGGGTGGACGTCGATCTCCAGGCCACAGGATGAGGTGTTGTATTTGACTTCACTCCTCGCTGTGCATGTGCCCGCGGGATTTGGTGTTCCTCCTGTTTCCCACTGGCAGGCAGCGCCCCACCCAGTAGTACTCAGTGCTGTCACTCGTCCCCTCCAGGAGACGCCACTGTAGCAGGAGAGGGGCACGGCCCCCTCCCCTGTCCACCCTTTTCCCACCGGTCCACACTGTCTTCTCAGCGGCGGCTGCAGTTCTGGGGCCTCTGCTTTGTCGGGAAACACTGAGGAAGGGAACCTCTTCTGGGAGGGCAGGTTTGTAGATGGTGACTGATAGGCCAGAAACTTTAACGTAAGTACATAAAGTGAGGTAGAAAGCGAACTACTGTAGCCCTATCTGTTCCTGTGACGATGGGATCGAGAATTTAATTTTTTTCAGATTTAGTTATTTGAAGGAGTTACAGAAAGATGAATCTACTGGGTCACTCCTCAGGTGGCCGCCAGGACCAGGGCTGGGCCAGGCCAGAGCCAGGAGCCAGGAGCTTCCTCCGGAGGTCTCCCACATGGGTGCAGGGGCGCAAGCACGTGGGCCATCCTCCACTGCTACATCCCAGGCGCATTAGCAGGGAGCTGGATCAGAAGTGGAGAAGCCTAGACCCGAAATGGCGCCCATATGGGATGCCCGGCTGTCATCGATATAAAAACTAACAGTCCCGGTCCCAGGTCCCAGCACCCAGCAGTTTGAATATTCGTGGTTTTGTTTGCCCCTTCATAAGTCAGACGCTACGACCCCTTCACAGATTTTGGGGCAGCTCCTAGCAGAACGAGAATTTAAAACATCACTCTACCAACAGCGAGAAAAGGCCGCCCCGGGGACCAGACCGCTGGGTCCGGACTCTTATTCCAGTATTGTGAGAAGTGGGGTCACTCCTCGCGCCCACCCCTCATAACTGGGGGTTTCGCCTACGCTGCCGGACCTGGGGGAGTCGCCGCGCAAGCGCAGTGCTGCCGGCGCGCGGGCCGGCGGCGGGAGATCGGGTCTCGCGATGCGTCGTGCGTGCGTGTGCGTGCTCGGTCCTCGCGAGCTCGCGCACGCCGCTTCTCCCACTACGGGGCAGCGGCGGCCTCTTCCTGCTGCGTCCGGGGCGGGGATCGCGCGCGGTGGCCGCGGCCGGAGCCTACAGCCCGCGTCCGCCGCCGCCGCCGCCGCCGCCGCCGCCCTCGCCGCCTGCCTCTGGGCTTTGGACGCCGCGCGCGGTGCACAGGCGGCGGGCCGGGCCCAGCTGATGGGAAGCCCCTGGGCGCGCTGAGGGGCTGGACGACGCGCAGCCGAGGTGGGTGGGCGCGCGCGGGCTTGTCAGCGGGCCGGGAGCCGAGAAGCCGAACGGGGGCGAGGACCGCGCCTGCCCGGGGGGCTCCGGCCTACGGCGCGGAGGAGCGGCTGCTGTGCCCTGGGCGTGGAGCCGGGCCCCGGGGGAGGCTGGTCGTGCGGCGCGGCCGGCGGGGGCTCACTTTTTTTTTTTTTCCCCGTTGCGAGGTGGGACCTGCGGTCCTGCGCCCACCGTGGGCGAAGGCCTGCGGGCTGGGCGCTCGGCCTGCGGGCTCGCACGGCTCCGAGGGGCCCGCGACGGGCTGCGCGTTTTGGCTTTCGGCGCGTCGTCAGCGCCAGCCCTGGGGTGGCCGGGCATCTTCTTGCAACTTGCGGGTGCGGAAACCTTAGCCGCCGCCGCGCTCGGGCGCCCCACAGGTGATGCATTTTTAAACAGCGCGAGTCGGAGGAGGAGCCCGTCGCGCGCAGTTAAGGGACGGAAGGCAGACAAAGAAGGCCGTTAGCTGCACCCGGGGCCGGCGGGGGAACTTTGCCCGGCGTGAGTCCGTGGGAGTGGTGGCCGAGGGGCGGGACGTGGGTCTCCGAGGAGTCCGTGTCGCCCGCCTGTGCCGGAGGTCACTGCTTGGGCATCCTCGGTGAAGTTGCCGTGCTGTGTTTTTATTCTGCTACCCTGCGGACGGGCCGTTGCCCGCGTAGGCCTCGGAGTTTGTGTTTCAGCCACAGAATGTGCAGAAGCTCCCGTGGGCTTCCCTTCCTTTTCAAAAGTTGAACCGTTTTTGGAAAACGGCCTTTGGTAGTGTTCGCAGTGTGCTGCTTAATGGCAGAGCTGCTAGAAGTGCTGTGTTCCCTTAGACTCTGAAGAAACCTGGCGCAGCGCAGGGTGTTATGGCGAGAATCAAGAAGAGTTGGCCGGAGAGCCCTCACGTGGGAAGAGAGAGGCATTGTAAAATGTGTGGTTCGTGCTTATTTGTGCAAATCCTGCATAAACACACACATCCTGCGTGTGGGGACAGAGACGGTGGTTACGCAACCACGAAGCTCACGGCGCGGCGCCCGTCTCAGTAGGACTGAAGTCAGAGTGGAGGAGGGAGGGTCGCTTTTAGCTCTGTGGTTGAAGCCGGCTTCTCGTCCGGGGTTTGAGAAAGCAGGATAACTGTGGCTGGCAGCAGCAGAAGGCCTGCCCCCTGGACGTCGAGCCCTTGGAAGAAGCAGCGGTTCCCTGTTTTGTGTCTCCGCGCTTAGGGGAGTGTTGTTGGCCTTAGAGGTAAATTAACATAATATTGACCCAAGGCAGGACTCGCTGGAGGAGATGAAGGGGTCGGAGATGAGAGCTGTTTCAGAGGCGCGGGGCTCATTTTTTAATGGTGTGGTTTTCGGTGTGGCTTGATGGCCGAGGCAAGGATCTGCGGCAGTGTTTTTGCCTCTAAAAGCGTAACGTGGTGTAAGGCGAGACTGTATACCGTGAGTGCTGATAGATGGTGAGTGTTCTAATATATTAGGAGAAAATGAGGCAGGGAGGTGAGGTCCGGAGGGAAGGCTTTGCTAAGTTTAGTGATAGGAACTGAAAGGCATGAACCATAAAACATGGAAACGGATTGTGGTAAGAAATATTTTCTCCTCCCCTGGCAGTCCTCCTGTGGAGGACAACTTGTGCCTTTCACCTCTTTATGAGCGCTTTACAGCTGGGTGATTCCTGAATGGTCGGATTGAAAAGGGTTCCCTTCTTCTCTGAGTCTTGGGCTCACAGGCCTGAGTCCAGCACGGATTTATTGTCAGTAAGCTATTTTGGGTCCCGTCTTTTCCTGTATATACTTCTCAGTTTATAACTCGACGGGGAGAGGAATGTGGTTGGGTCCGTCACAAATCCCGGCATTGGCTTTTCTTCGGTTTGGAAAATAAATCTGTTTGACTTTGTGCTCCCAACAGAATGGCTCAGTGGCTGTTTGGAGAGGTGGAGGCTAAAGAGGTGAATAAACTTAAACAGGAATATTTTAAGTTGAATCTTGTGGTTCTTTTTTTTTTAACTGTTATTATTTGTTTAAATTTTATTGGAACTGGAGAGAAACAAAGAGATCTTCTATCTGCTGATCGACACCCAGTAGCCAGGTACTCTGGCATCTTCTCTGTGGGTCACAGGGCCTGCTGCCTCCCAGGGTGGACTTCAGCAGGAAGCTGGAATTGCCGTGGGACGCGGGCATCCCAAGTGGTGTCTCAACTGCTGTGCCAAATGCCCGCCCCTTTGTTTTCATTTTAGTGTAGTTGAGTAATTCTTAATGTTGTGGGGGGGGGGGGTGGATCTTTTCCCCCCGGGAACATTTGGCAACTACTGAAGAAATTTTTGGTTGTCACAAATTTACTGGGAGGGAGAGAATGTTGCTGCTGATATTTCGTGGATAGAGATCAGAGGTAGCCCTCACCAGCCAGCACCCATGGCAAAGAATTACCTGACCCCATGACCGCGCTGGTGCAGCTGCAGGGTGTACCATCAGTGCTTGTGGTTCTGAAGTCAAATTGTTCAAGTTCTTATTTGACTTTTTCTAATGTGTGGCTCTGGCAAGTTGCTTAAAGTTTCTGTCTCTGGGGGCTGGCGCTGTGGCCCAGCAGGTTAAGCACCGCCTTGGACGCTGCCATCCCATATGGGCACAGATTCCAGTCCCGGCTGCTCCATTTCCTTTCTCGCTCCCTGTTAACTTGACTGGGAAAGCAGTGGAAGCTGGCCCAGCCCTGGCTGTTGCGTCCATTTGGGGAGTGCAGCAGATGGAAGATCTCTCTCTCTAACTGTGCCTTTCAAAGAAATAAATGAATCTTTAAATTAAGAAAAATTTTGTGTTTCTGTAGAATAGAGCTAACAATAGTAAGCTCCTTGTCAGTTTGTGCTGAAGATTAAATGATGTGTAAAGCACCAAACCAGCTTATTGCCTGATACATGAAAAGCTTAAAAACTGTCACCTTTCAGCTAGTACTGCATTTGGAACTAATCTTGAGGACCTCTGCTTTTTCTCATTTGAAATTGAAATTTTGAGCTAGTGTAAGGTGATAATTCATAACTTAGGTCTCCTTGTTAGTGAAAAATTATTCCTTTTAATATTTGTGTTCGGCCTAGTCTTACTTTATGTTCTCAAGGCTGCAAGGTATCTACTGTAAAGAAATAGTTTCTTATTTTAGATGTTTTTCCTTCATAGTTAAGTCAGCTGGCCAACAATGCTGTGTTGATTCTTAGAAAATATTTAGTAATTTAACAGAAGTTGTCTCTGTGACTTGGTTTTCATTTCCTTTTGCCTTTGTATACTAAAATAAGTTTGCAGTCTCTGGGAGTAACTTTCCTAACTGAAGTCTTGGTGCATTTTTATGTGTTGGAAGCATTCAGGCAGGGCTGGTGTTGCGGCACAGTGGGGTGAAGCTGCTGCCTGTGCTGCTGGCATCCCATATGGGTGCTGGTTTGGCTCCCGACTGCTCTGCCTTGATCCAGCTTCATCCTAATAGCCTGGGAAAGCAACAGAAGATGCCCTCTGCCCCCGTGTGGGAGTTGTGGGTGAAGCGCCTAGATCAGGATATTGCATCCATCTGGGGAGTGAACCAGCAGATGGAAAATCTCTCTGTTGCTCTGTCTCTCTCTGTTTCTAACAAATAAATCTTTAAAAAAAATTTCCAGCAAGCGTTATCTAAAGATTTTAGAGCTAGACATAAATATACATGTGTGACTCTTTCTAAACATGAATTAGAATCCATATTTTTAAATCTTTCTGCATCGCAGTACAGTGCTGTGGTCTCTATAAAACTTTGATTTCCTGTGTGTCTATTTATATGACTCCTCAGTGCTGGACTGTGATGTTGGTTTTAATGCATTCTTTATAAAGAAAAAAAAAACACAGACAAAACAAAGACTTTGGACTCTTTGTTAATAAGTTGCAAGGCTCTTGTAAATAAATCCACCGTGTGTTTATGAACAGGAGAGAGGGCAGTGTTACACGTTCAACTTTCTGCCTTGATAACTGTGCCTTCACAATGAGAGGTATTTTATTATGGTTGTTATTCATATTTTGGGGGTGTAAGGTTTTGTTTTCTTAAGATTGATTGATTTATTTGAAAGGTCACCGGAGAAAGATCTTCCACTTGCTGGTTCACTCTCTAAATGCATACAACAGCTGGAACTGGGCCAGGTCAGAGCGAGGAACTCCATCCAGGTCTATCAGGCAGCTGGCAGGATTTGAGTAGCTGGGCCATCGTCTCTGCCTTTCCAGACAGATGGCAGGAATAGGACAGGGCAGCAGGTAGTCAGATGGCACTCTACTGTGGCCACTCAACTCGCTGCACCACAGCACTTGCCCCAGGAGGACGTTTTGTTTTTCCCCCAAGATTTATTCTATTTATTTGGAAGACAGAGTTACAGAGAGAAAGAAATCTTCCATCTGTTGATTCAGTTCCCAAATGGCCGCAGATGGCCACAAAAGGCCAGGATCAGACCTCAACCAGGAGCCAGAAGTTTGTTCCAGATCTTCCATGTGGGTGTAGGGGCCCAATCACTTGGGCCATCCTCCACTGCCTTTTCAGGGCGTCCTCAGGCAGCTGGATGGGAAGTGGAACAGCGAGATTCGAACTGGTACCCACATAGGATGCTGGTGTCTCAGTCTGCGGCTCTGTGTGCTGTGCCACAGCTCTGCTCCCAGTAATATGTTTTAACTGTGGAAGTGTCCCTCATTTGTTTATACTTTGTCTGGTTCCGCCTTCTGCTCGGATAGTGTTTTTGAAGGGAATTAGTACCCTGGACCAAGAGATTGTGATTTTTGTTTGGCACGTTCTGTGCTTTGTAGGCATAACATAGACTCAGGGTTCTGTGTGAAAAATAAATTACAAAAAAGCATTATGGGAAATGTGGTCAAATCAGAATTACATGTGTGAGATACAACAGACCAAAGTAAGGCATCCTAACGATGTTACACCAACTGGAAAAAAGTGTTAATAAGAATTCTTGTCTTTACTGGTATCCTTTTGGGGCTTAGTAATCTAAAAGAAAAAAGCCTGTAAAATGTGTTGTTTGTTTTGTGATTGTTTACTTTTCCAGTTCCTAATCAGAGAATTGTGTGGCCACTAAATCTGTGCTAAAATTAGGTTCTCTTGTATGATGTTTGTCTCCCCATGATAAAATTGAGGGAAAAAGCGTCTTTTGAATCTGCTGGTGTGTGTGTATGTTTATAGGTCATCTGGAGTCTTGCCTGTCAGCCTAATTTTTGGTAGTCTGCATAGATGTTGGAAGACTATTTGCCATTGAATGCTGTCATGCGGATACATATTTGTATATGTATATTTATGCATATTTGTCTTTTATTTCTGGTAGAAAATGATGCATCCTGTTGCCAGCAGTAATCCAGCTTTCTGTGGGCCTGGCAAGCCTTCCTGCCTCACAGAAGATGCCATGAGAGCCGCCGATCAGTTTGACATATATTCCTCCCAGCAAAGCAAGTACAGCCACACAGTCAGCCACAAACCCATGGTCTGTCAGAGGCAAGACCCGTTAAATGAAACACACTTGCAGACTACAAGTGGCAGAAGCGTAGAGATAAAAGATGAACTAAAGAAAAAGAAAAATCTCAACCGATCTGGTAAGCGTGGCCGGCCTTCGGGAACCACCAAATCAGCAGGATACCGGACCAGCACAGGCAGACCCCTGGGGACCACCAAAGCAGCTGGATTTAAGACAAGTCCAGGCAGACCTCTGGGTACGACTAAAGCTGCAGGATACAAAGTCAGCCCGGGGAGACCTCCAGGTAGCATTAAGGCTCTGTCCCGGCTCGCAGATCTCGGCTATGGCTGCGGCACCGCTGCCTTTCCTTACCCGATGATGCACAGCAGGGCAGTTCATGGGGTGGAGGAGGCCAGCAGTGAGGTGAAGCCTTCCGATGAGTGAGTGAGGCAGGAGAGGAGGGCCAGGTGCAGAAGGAAGGTAGTGCAGGATCCCAAAGCTTCTTGGTTTCATGTTGACATCAGTGATTTTACAGCCTGGGCTTTCCAAATTTGTATGCCTGTTTGATTTTCCCCTGCTTTTTCCCAGAAGCTGCTGTCTGCAGACAGAGGCCGTCAGGGCAGGAGTAGGGCACTGTGTGTGTCCATGGGCTCAGATGTGACACCAGCTAAACCAGTCCTCTCTTCCTTTAGTGTCATGATCGGGTCCCATGTTTCATTGCTTCTTTTGGGCCATTCTGAATAGTTGCTTTGTGTGCTGAACAACTGAAACCATTATACTTATTAGTTTGGGAAATACATCTGCAGTATAATGTACAATCTAAAGTATTTTTAACTGATGGAGCAGAAAAGCAAACTAGCGATTCAGGATTGCTTGAGGTAATGGCTGTGCGTTTTTGTAACCCTTATTTTCAATGGACGGGACACAGATACTTGTATGCTTTGGCATTTTAGTAGTCTTCACATGTTTAAAAAACTTACTTTTAGCGCTCTAGGTTTAAGCAGTTATTTATTCATCTTGTGGCATTAATCGATTTGATCCTTATTCCTAGGAGAACCCTTCAGTGCTTACCTTTCAGCATTGATAGGTTATTGCGTTTTGGGATTGCCTAAGAGCATGTATACCAAACGCCACAATCAGTTAACATTTACAAAAAATTTAAGCTTTTATAAAAACTGCACATTACATTTTTGATGAAATACAATGCATTCTGAGAGTAGTATGTTTAATATAACTGACATTCCTGAGGTCTGCATGTAACTATAGTCACTGTGTTTTTTTTTTCATATATTTAGTGAGTTTTAAAGTATGTTTAAAAATATATATTAGTGTTGCTCATTTATTTGAAATGTTTTTTGGTTTTTCTGAGAAATCATCCCATTGCATTAGCACTTACTGTTTCAGGTTTATATCTACCAAAGGACTCAAGTTGTTACGTAGGCTGTAAAACTGATGTAAACCGAATGCATTTTGCCGACCATCAGAACCCAGATATGAAGAAATATACAGAAATTCATCTATGCATGAAATGTGAAAAATATGTTGGTTAATTTAACTAAAAAATCCTGTTGTGACTCCTGGGAGACCACTTCATCTAAAAAAAAGTCCCCCTGCTGCCCCCAGTAATGTTTGCTTTAGAAGCAAGACAGAAAAGGAAAAATAGTATTTGCTAGATGTGTATGCTAGGGACAGAGGGAAACCTCTCCTCCTTCCTTTCTGAAAGTAATACTCCGTGTTAATACTCATTTTATTTATTCTGAGTTTGTTCTGAAGAAGATAGGAACTTGGGATTTGAACAATTTCTGCTGCGTTATAATCACGCTGTTCATACTAGGAATTTTAAATGCCTTTGAGATTAAAATGTAGATTTGAAGGACCCAAAAACTTAAAAATAATTAAGTTGTGGAAGGGCACATAATGTATTGTTTGGGCTTGCTCCCAGCTAATGCACACTCTGTTTGCAAATGGATGTCATGCTCCATACCTTTTTTAGCAGGAAGAACGCAGCAAGCCTGCAGGTGTCCCAGTGATGCCTGACACAGTGAGCTGGACTTACGCTGCTCTTTACAGGAAGAGGTGTTGCATTGTGCCTGGGCGCGGTCGCCTCAACGTTGGCTTTGCACAAGCAAACCGTAGAGAACATGTTGGGTGACTATGTAATCAGTTCTAACATTCTGGCAGCTAAATTGCTACAAGAGTTACTTCTTGCAGAAGCTTAAAATGTAAACTTTTAATATTTCCTCCTAACAGTATAACTTCTGGCATACACAGATGCTTTCATTTTACTCATTTGTTCATCTGCTCACTTTTCTCCCGTGTGTGTCAGCTAGCTGTTTCTCGAGGTGATGCTCGGAGGTCCTCTCCTGAGGCGGTTGTTTGCGCACCCTGCCGCAGGGTGATGCACAGACACACCGTGTCGGAGATGTGGCTGCATGTTGTATTTGATAGGAAATCCATTCCCCTTCCGGTTTGCTTTCAGTCCTGAGTTTGTTATTCATACTCATTTTCTGCCCTACGTTCATCCCCCTCTCCCCACCCTCCAGCACGTCTACTCAGTGGTGCTGTGCTGTGTCAGGAGACAAAGCAGGTGTATTATTGTATAATGAATTTTGTATACATGTTTATGAAATGGTGGAATCAGCTAAAGGGAGTTTGTTCGTAACAGTGTATATTGTTAAGAGCTGTGGGGGGGGGTGAATGGCTACAGTTGTGAATGAGTAACATCCTTCAGACAGCTGGATTCACTGTTGCTGTGAGCAGTTACCTGAGCTGGAGTGTTAGCTGTATACACTGGTGAGCATCTCCTGTCCACTTAGCTTTTCTTCTTATGAACAGTTCCCTGGTGCCATGCTGAAGAGAAGGACGTCTAAGCGATGATATGAATGAAGTCTTCAGATATAAAATATTTTTACTTCTATATAATCGAAAGACCACATTGTGCATCTTTTGTAACACTGTCTCTTGTCATGATAAACACTGAAATAGCATGTTAAACAGTTGCCTATACTTTAATATAATCAATGGGGAAAACTCGCCGTCCCCTCCCACTATATGATTGTTCCTTGAGAGGTAAATTGCTAATTTTATACTGTGTAATTCTGTCTTTACCAAATAGGTTTCACTATTCTATGTTAAAACTGTTGGTCAGAAAATGGTCTATTCAAGTAAGTTTGCTTTACTTTTTTCTTTAAAAAATATTTTAACATGCCTTATTTATTATTCTTATATTAACAAATAAGGAACTAATACAGATGAAATTTTCGTTTTTTGACAGATATAACTTTGCATAACTGATCTTTAGTATGGGATGATTTTGATACTATCTTTGGAGTTTTGCACTGGATATTAAAAAAATACATTGGCACCGTGTATTACAAGAAAATAAGTAGTATCTGGTTTAATTTTTAATATTTGGGAACTTTTTTAAATCACTGTTTCAATTAGACTAAGAATTCTTTATATTTTTATTTACTTTTTAAAAGAAACATCTGTCAAAGTAATCCTCATTCCAAACTGGTATTTATGCGAATTTGCATATATATTTTCACAAACTAAGAATAGAGTTTTTTGAGTTAAGAAAGGGGAAAACATCTGGATCCATTTATTAGGTTAAGAGTGATCCATCTGGTGTTAAAAATAACCGCAGTGTGTGAACTACAGAAAAAAAAATTAAACTTGTTTATATTCTAGGAAGCTGTAAAAGAACACTTCAGGGGTTGCGGATGGTAACTGTTAGTCATTGTCTCTATATGCAGTGAAATGTTAGGATCCCTTGCTAGTGAACTAGGAGAATTCACAACAGTTACTCAAAACAGTTTTTTCCTTGGACATGATAAATTGTGATGCTATTTTTTTTTTTTAATGACTTAACTATATGCTCTTCAACTCTAGGATGTATCTTGATCTTTCCATTGCTTTTTGCCCCTCCTCCTTTCAGGTAGACAAACTGTGCTCTCACATATTATGTGTTTATTTTTTTGGAGAGTTTAATGCTATAGTAATTCAAGTGTGTGATTTAAAATAATCAGTTCACTTTGATTCTTTAAGTTTTCACAATTTCCTTTTCACAGATAATTATGGAGAAAGATAATTACTGATTAACTGGTAATAAGCACGCTGTCCTCTGCTGTAAAGAGTCTGAATAGATAACTGTATGTTATGTCCATGAACTCGAGCTACTCGTGTGCAATTATGTGTATGGGAATGGAGTAGTGTTCATGATTTGTATCTACATCATCATATGGATGTATATTTATTAATAAAGTCACTACTTTAAAACCAACTATGTCTGCTGCTTTATTGTGTAGCACTGTACTTCACAAGTGGGGAAGCAGTCGAAAGTCACCTTTTTTCATTGCAGTGAATCTTTTCTTGAGGTTTTGCCTTCTGAAATCTGCCCCTTAAAATGTGTGATGTGTGTATGTTTAATTTAAAATCTTCACAAATTGATCCAGTTTTATTTGCATTTTCTTCCCATTATGAAGATAAGTTAGGCTAGTGTTTCTACTGAAGGCTTATATTTAAAATTTTTAAAAGATTTGTTTATTTATTTGAAAGGCAGAGCTACAGAGAGATAGAGGCAGAGAGAGAGAAAGAGCTTCCATCCAGCGGTTCACTCCCCAGAAGGCTGCAACGGCTGGAGCTGAGCTGATCCAAAGCCAGGACCCAGGAACTTCTTCCGGGTCTCACACATCGGTGCAGGGCACAGGATTTGGGCCATCTTCCACTACTTTTCCAGGCCAATGCAGGGAACTAGATTGGAAGAGGAGCAGCTGGGACTCAAACCGGCTCCCATATGGGATGCTGGCACTTCAAGTGGCAGATTTACCTGCTATACCACAGTGCTGGCCCCTATATTTAATTTTAAACATGATGAACGGGGACATCATCTTCTGTAACTGTCAAATATTTGGGATATTTAAAATATATTTCCCTTAATTAAACATATAATTGCCTTTCCCACTTTCTCTGAAGTCTAGCAAGGTGCAGCCTCTGTTTGTGAAACTGATTGATTTGAAAGAGTTTACAGAGATTGTCACCTGCTCCTTCACTCCCCAAATGGCCACAACAGCTGGAGCTGGGCCGATCCAAAGTTAGGAGTTTCTTCTAGGTCTCCTATGTGAGTGGCAGGGGCCCAAGGACTTGGGCCATCTTCCACTGCTTTCCCAGGCCATAGCAGGGAGCTGGATCTGAAGTGGAGCAGCCAGGACATGAACTGGCATCCAAATGGGATGCTGGCATTGCTGCCAGTGGCTTAATCCACTGCTCTACAACACCAGCTTCCCCCACATCCTGGCCTGCTTTTGTAAATAAAGTTTTATTGGAATAGATAGTCTTTGTTACAGGTTGTCAGGCTGCTTTGGCATTTTAGTGGCGGAGTTGACCAGTTGTGACATAAGGGCCTGCGAAGCTTAAAATATTCATCTGTTCCTTTCTTCACACACACACAAAAAACTTGCCAACTTTCTATGTAGAACACAGGTGGGTAGCCTTTTTCCTGCCAAGGGCCATTTGGATACTTATAACATCATATGTAGGTCATACAAAATCATCAACTTAAAAACTGCTGTAGATTTTTTTTTGAATTTCTAATCCCACCTGCAGTTGTCTAGGCAGGGACAGACCAAGTGATTTTGCAGGCCTTGGGCGATGTGCAAGCCAGACATGGCCTACCTCTGATCTATAACATTAAAGTGGAGTTGTAAACAGCCAGTAAAATAGTTTAAGTTTTAGAACATATATGAAATTGATAATGAGTTGTTTTTTTTTTTTTTTTTTTTTTGCCTTTGGATTATAATTGATATTGGTAAGATGACTTGGGCCAGCGCTGTGTAGTGGGTAAAGCTGCCATCTGCAGTGCCAGCGTCCCATTTGGGTGCCAACTCAATTCCTGGCTGTTCCACTTCCAATCCAGCTCTTTCTTATGGTCTGGGAAAGCAGTAGAAGATGGCCCAAGTTCTTGGGCCCCTGTAGCCGTGTGGGAGACCCGGAAAAAGCTCTTGACTTCAGTTGGGCCCAGCTCTGGCTGTTGAAGCCATCTAGGGAGTGAACTAGTGGATGGAAGACCTCCCCCCCCACCCCGGCTCCCTATAACTGCCTTTCAAATAAGTCTTTTTTTAAAAAATGATACTTAGCAGTGATTTTGTATGTTATTTTTCTCAGATGGTGGAAGTTCTTTCACTCACAGGAATGTATTGTTGATTTGGTATACTCACTGATCTGTGAAAATACTACACCATGCCAATACTGGATCTTTGCTGCAACTCACTGGGTGGCTTAGATAAATTTTTAATCACTTTGTTCCCTATAATATTTTCTAACAAATGCTTATTCATTAAAATTATATTTGTGGCCGGCGCTGCGGCTCACTAGGCTAATCCTCCGCCTGCTGCGCCGGCACCCTGGGTTCTAGTCCCGGTTGGGGTGCCAGATTCTCTCCCAGTTGCTCCTCTTCCAGGCCAGCTCTCTGCAGTGGCCAGGGAGTGCAGTGGAGGATGGCCCAAGTGCTTGGGCCCTGCACCCTCATGGGAGACCAGGAGGGAGCACCTGGCTCCTGCCATCGGATCAGCGCGGTGCGCCGGCCGCAGTGGCCATTGGGGGGGTGAACCAACGGAAAAAGGAGGACCTTCCTCTCTGTCTCTCTCTCACTGTCTACTCTGCCTGTCAAAAATAAAAATAAATTATATTTGTGACAATTTTCTTTCTCTGGCGAATGTCAGAGCAGACCAGTGTCCTTCAGTGGAAAGAGCTGGCCTAGGGCAGGTGTTTCACAGTGGGAGCGACCTCTTGGGGAGTTACATTCCAACATCTTTGTGCCTGGCTTGGAGTCCCGGCTGTACTTGAGATTCCAGCTTGCTCCTCATGCACCCACTTGGGAGATGTGGATGGAGTTCTAGGCTCCTGATTTCAGCCCAACACAGCCCCAGTTGTTGCAAGCACTGGGGAGTGAATCAACAGATACATGATCTCTCTCTCCCTCTGTCTCTGCCTTTCAAATAAAAAGGAAGTTTAAAAATCCAAGCAAGTGAAGATCTGTGGTAAGAGAGAAGGTAATCTCCCTTTATCACCTAGAATTCATACCCTGAATATTATCAGTCTTGTGTTTTTTATTCTCAGCAGTTGCCATGGTGTGAAAAGAATAAACTTTTGGGGGCCATGTTACAGCACAGTGGGTTAAGCCACCACTTGGGGTGCCAACCTTCCATACATCAATGCCAGTTAGAGTCCTGACTACTGTGCATTTAAAATTATTTGAAAGGCAGGGGGATATATTCCATCTGCTGGTTCACTCCCCAGATGCTCACAATGACCAGGGTTGGGCCAGGCTGAAGCTTCATCTGGGTCTCCTATTTGAGTGCAGGGGCTCAAGTACTTGGGTCATCTTTGCTGCTCTCCCAATGGAGCAGCCAGGACTCGAACTGGCGTTCATATGGGATGCTGGCATCACAAGGCAGTCATGGGGTGGTTTGACCCACTGTGCTGGTCCCAACTACTGTGATCCAGCTCCCTGGTAGTGCACCTGGGTGGGCAGCTGATGATGGACCAAGTACTCAGGCTTCTGCCACCCTGTGGGAGACCTGGTTGGAGTTCAGGCTCCTGCTTTGGCCTTTCCCAGCCCTGACTATTGAGGGTGTTGGGGCGTGAGCCAGTGGATGGAAGGTCATTCTTCACTCTCATAATGCATTTCAAATGAATAAATCTTCTAAAAACAAAAAACCAGGTGGGTGTTGTGGCACGGTGGTTAAAACATTGCTTGGGGCACCCACATCCTGTAGCGGGTGCCTGTCTTAGAGAACCGGCTGCTCTGCTTCTGATCCAGGCTCCTGCTGATGCTTCCTGGGAGGCAGCAAGTGAGAGCTTAAGTGCTTGGGCCCCTGGCACCCATGTGAGAGACCAAGATGAAGTTGTTGGACCCTGGCTTAGGCTTGGGCTAGCCCTGACTGTTGCAGGCATTTGGGTAGTGAGCCAGAGAAAAAAATACAATAAACACTTTATTAAACACACTTTATTCCATTCGCTAAGTCCTTGTAGTTTTGGTGAATGGTGCCGGAGGAGCTGGAACACCCCTTTGACTTAGAATACTTGAATCCCAGAGAGGTTAATTTGCCCAGCGTCATGCACACGGCGGGAGTTCGGGTCAGCGTGTGAGCCCACGCCCTGTGAATCCTGCGCGGGGGCGCCTCACTGCTGCCTCTTCGCTGTTGGGAAGTTTATTAAACGACGTTCTGCTTTTAGTGGTGGGTGTTTTTGTCCTTGCTCTGAGCTGCCTAAATGTAGCTTTGGGAAGCTGATCGACTCCACTTGTCTTGCTAGGTGATTGTGGCAAATGCATTTTAGTTTATCTTTGCTACCCCTCTGCTGTGAGAGCCTAGGGGCTTTGGAGTAGCTTCTCAAGAGAGAGACTGAAAACGACAGTTACTCTTAGTTTTCCTGCCATTTGTCTTTCCTTTGCCTTAGGATTTTTTGGTTTACGGTTACGTGTTTATTTCCCTGTATTTTTCAGTACAGCCTGCCCCTTTTGTCTTTGTTCTGCCTGGTGCTGCTTTGTGGTTTGTGACTGTTTGTCTCTGGCCTGGTTTTCTTGGGATCATTGGCATTCACCCCGATGGTGGGACCAGCGCTGAGTGGGGGCTGGTGTTGTAGGCAGCAGCTTAAACCACTGTGCACGATGCCAACCCCACTTGCTAATATCTTGCTGATTTTAATTTGATTCACCTATCAATTTTGAGTCATTAATAAAAATATTCCTGGGGTGAATGTTTGGTCTAGCAGTTAAGATAACAGTTAGGGTCCCCGTGACCCATATCCGAGTGCTTGGGTTTAACCTGCGAATCTGGCTCCTGACTCCAGCTTCCTGCTGGTGCAGATGCTAGTTAGACAGCAGTGATGGCTCAAGTAGCCGGGTTCCTGTCACCCACGAGGGAGACGGAGTTCCCAGTTCCCAGTGTGAGAAGAAAAGACCACTGGTTCATCAAAGATAGATGTTAAGCTGTGAGTAGAAAATGACTGACTAGCATCTAAGCAGTTAGTTAGCCTGACAGTTAGGTTACGAACCACAAAGTACATGCACCTGGAAAAGGCCTGGAGCAAACAGGGTATTACCAGGACTAAACATTTGGAAATACTTAGGTGGCGTTCGGGAAGGTGGTAATCCCGCAGTTAATCAGCCAATGAGGAACCAGGGAAGTGACCTGCGTGTTAGGAAATAAACCACTTATTGTAAACCACCCCCGAGTGTGCTGGCCCATCAGACACCCCATCTTTTATTTTATTATTTTTTTA